GTTCTGAGGGGGGCAGTCAGGGGGCGAGAAGTGGGAGGGGGTGGACAGGCTGTTTGGGGAGGCATAGCCTTCCCTACCTGGCCCTCCATACACAGTTTCAGAACCCCGATGTGGCCCTCAGGCCAAAAAGTTTGCCCACCCCGCCTTAGAATATAAAATTGTTTTCATGTATAAATGAAAACATATACAATTTTAATATTCTAGAGGAAGCAGCTTTCACAGCCTGTCAGAAAATAGACTTGTGCAATCAATTTATCACTTCTATGAGAGGACTTCTGTTGTGTAGGAATCTGACACAGCAACTTCCTCCCACAGGTTTCCTTTACTAAAATAAAACCAGAATCTTAAAAAGCCCAACTCCCTCTGATTACTTTTAGTCTAAACTATGTGCATGGTAGATACTATGAGTTTATGCTAGTTGCAATGAGAACTACTGTGGCAGCAGCAGGGCATCTGCTATGAGGACAGGCAGATGTTTCTTATATTTGCATTAATTTGTGGGAGAAAACGTCTTGACTTCTATACACCCATGGATGGAGGTTAAAAAAATATATGTAAAAGTGTCTTCCAAAAGATTTTGAACTCACATAATATGTGTCCTTATGTTCAGCACCAACACTTTGCCTTAAAAATCCACAGGACCAACATATGCGTGTTTTAAAAAGACACAATGACTCCAAAACACCGACCTCTCTTCAGTTTTCAAAAAGACTAATTCCATAACAAAATTGTAGATCCAGCTGCTTACACCCCACTTAATCGTGATCCGCCCTGTCATTGTATTACATAGTCCCATATGACTAATAAAGTGACACTATTTGTAAAGACGATCACATGACCATGTCTATGTCAGCTGGAATCTGATCAGTCCACAGGCAGACTCCTCTCCCCACCATCTTTAAGGAACTCAAGACATTTCTCTCCCCTTTTCTACTTTTGAAGTTTTCCCCAATAAATCAATTTCCTAGGGGCACCTGCTGTAACATGGATGATATTTTGAAGCAATACACAGTAGCAAGCAAGGAGTATCCAGCTGCAGAGGAGCTGGCATTGGAGAACTCCTGTAATTACCTCTCTCACAGATGCAGTCTCTTCTACTACTATCTCCATCTCTGGGGCTCCCTGCAGATCACTCCCAACAAGAAAATACAAGAAGAGCTAAGAAAAGGATAGCATGTCAAATTAAAGCTCAGAGATCATGCAGCATGATTTTATATATACATATAATAGATTTACATGATTTTTAATTCCAGAATAAGGCTAAAAACAGACTGCTTCAGATACAGTATAAATATGGGGGAGTCCATCATAATTACTTATCTAAACTCTCAGAAGATATAATTAAGAATGAAAACAGGGTTAAGTTTTCTTTGTATTCACTGCATGTGCATGTTGGTTAATTACGGCAGGATTGTCTCTCTAACAAAACAAACAGCACTGAAAACCTCTTCTGGCCAAAAATACAATAAGCAGGCCC